AAGGCAGCTATTATATTAATTTTACAGCCCACAGGATGAATATAAAAAACTTAAATGCCACAGGGCAGCTATTATATCAGTTTTAGGTGCTATATATTGGTATCACATTAGTATTAGTTTTAAATACTCAAATATCGATATCATATTAATATTGAAGGCCATAGGAAAACTATTGTGTCAGTTTTAGATGATGATATAATAAGAATATCATATTAGTATTAAAGACCACAGCTCAGATATTTTATTAGCTTTAGATTCAATAGCATGGATATTCCATTAATATTCAAAGCCACATAGAAGCTAGTGTATCAGTTTTATATAATAGGGAGCTATTATATTAACAAGTAATATTAGTCTTGAAGCCAAAGTTCAGCTACTATAATAGTTTAAGATGTTATGTTATTAATATTAACTTAATTTCCAGGAGCGCGCCACGTGGAGGTGTGTTGCTGCGGGTCTCAACATGGTGGGGTCTCCGTTCATTGTCCCATCCAGGCCGATTCTTTCGCTGAACCCACAGGAAGACGTCCAGTTTCAGAAGGAGGTGCAGCACGTCTGCCAGCGTGTAACCCAGCAAAAAAAGCAAGAAAAACTTATTCCTGGAGTAATTTTTGTGGGCCATCTGCCTCCAGCACTTTATGAAACCCAAATCAAAGCATATTTCTCCCAGTTTGGCACTATTACAAGATTTAGACTATCCAGAAGTAAAAAGACTGGAAATAGAAGAGGCTATGCCTTTGTGGAGTTTAAGTCTGAAGATGTTGCCAAGATAGTTGCTGAAACAATGAATAACTACCTTTTTGGTGAAAGACTCTTGGTGTGTCATTTTATGCCACCAGAAAAAGTACATAAAGAACTTTTTAAAGAGTGGAATGCTCCATTTTGTTAGCCATTGTATCCAGCCCGTGAAGTGGTATAATCGGAATCCAACATTTTTTCAAAAACTGCAAATGGAAGACGATTTAAAAAGAAAGAAAAATTGCTCAGGAAAAAATTAGCAGCAAAAGGAATTAATTATGATATTTCTTCATTGGTTTTATCATCCAGTAAGACCAAA